ATTGGTTTCCCTTTTCTTTGTTGAAGAGGGTCTGTGCAATCCTTCTGCCTAGTCCGCCATCTTGCCCCGCCTCCCCCTACATTATGTTTTATAGCAAGAGTTGTAATCTTTGTTTTGATTTGGAGCAGAGCTAAGAGGTAGTTGACCCAAACCAGAGTGTTAATAATAATTGGATACAACTCTGAGCTGATGTTAAGAACATAGCCATATATCAATATAAGCATATATTTTTGGTTTTGTAAAGTATTTCTGCCTTTTGGTATAAATGGCAAAAGAGAAGTGAAGAAATTAATGTTCAATTACTAATTAGTTATATTTAGAGTCAATCACTGGTATTTTGATTTAATGTTGTTTAAGGACAGGGAAAGAAATGTGTTGTAATTTTTATTACTCTCAGAGAAGAGTTTACTGTTTTAGAAGCAACTTATTTGTTGGCCTTATCTATCTATACTTTTTACTATCAGTAACTTCCAATATAGAAAAAAAATCTTTATTTCATTCAAAACAATATTATCTTCTAAGGATAATTTTTTGTTTGTTTTTCTTTGTTGTTTGTTTTAACTGCAGCACAATCCAAACAAGATTGTATCTGGCTTTTTTCTGCGATTGTTAACATCAAAGCTAATGAATGACATTGCAGATATTTGTAAAAGTTTAGTAAGTATGCGTCCTGTTTTACTACTGTATTTCATTGATTCTAAGTTGTACATTTTTTCTTGTTGAAGTATCTTTCAAATTAGAATACATTTCAGTATTCTACATGTTATATTTTTTAATGTGTGGAAATTAAAGTGATTTGGTTTTGGAGGAGACATATACTTGATTGCTTCTTTATATCTGTACCTAACATAGTTAAAAAAAAAAAAACCCAACCAAACTCTCTGCTATCCAATTGATTCTGACTCATAGCAACCCTATAGGACAGAGTAGAACTGCCTTATAAAGTTTCCAAAACTGTAAATCTTTATGGGAAACAGAGTCCTCATCTTTCTTGCTTGGAGTGACTTGTAGGTTTGACCTTCAGACCTTTTGGTTAGCAGCTGAGTGCCTTAACCACTGCACCATCAGAGCTCCTTACCTAACACCCCCCCCAAAAAAAAACAACCAAACTCATTGCTGTTGAGTTGTTTCCAACTCATAGCAACCCCTCCTTGGGTTTCCAAGGAGGTATCTCTCTGGAAGTAGATTGCCTAGTCTTCCTTCCTAGGAGTGGCTGTTGGGTTTGAACCACCACTAACTTCTGGTTCCAGTCAAATGCCTTAGGCACTACACCAAAAGTGAAAGATTGGAAACTAATCCAGGCTCCATGCTCATAGCTGTTTCTGTGTAATACTGCATCAAAATTCAAAATAATTCTCTATTCTTAAAGAAGGAGCTCTGGTAGTGTAGTGCCTAAAGCATTTGACTGCTAACCAGAAGGCTGGCAGTTCAAACCGAGCAGCCTCCTCGGAAGGAAGGTTGGGCAATCTACTTCCGTAGTGATACTGCCTCAGAAACTCAAGTAAGGGTCACTATGAGTTGGATCCGACTTGACAGCAGTGTTACTCTTAAGAAAGAAAAAATAAATCTCTGTCCAGATGAGCAATCTGCTGTCATTGTGGTATTCATTTTCCTTCTTCCGTATGAATGGGATAATGCTACACGTACTCCTATCTGGAACGGTGCCTTGGCACATGCAGTTGTTATTAAGTCCATTGAGTCTGCTCTGACTCATGGCAACCTTATGTACAGCAGAATGCAACATTGCCCCATCTTGCAATCATCTTCATAGTCCTTGGTTTGTTTGAATTCACTGTTTTGGCTACAGTGTCACTCCATCTCATGGACTATTTCCTTTGTTTTTGTTGGCCCCCTGCTTTACCAAACAGCAAACACAATGTCCTTTTCTGGCATTCAGCATATACAGTAGATACTCATATATTTATTGAGTGAAAAAAATATTTTGTGACTTGTGTACTTTTTCCTGGATAATAAGTCTTGGCCATTTTTTTCTTGTTGTTTTATACTGCCATAACTTATTTAGCAGCAGTGTGGTATTCTGTTATATATGTGTGTGTGCATGTATATATGTTTTTTGTTTTGTTTTCTTGTAAGCTCATCTATTTTGGTTAGCATTTGAAGCAGTTTCTAAATTTTGTTACAAAGAGTTCTGCAGGAAAAGTTCTTACACTTTTATTTTGGCTGCCTCTATTTGTACCTATCAAGAGTGCAGGATAAATTTCTAGCAATGGAATTTCTTATTCAAAAGGAATGTGAACTTTACATTTTGAAAGAAATTGTCCTCCAAAATACTCATACCGGTTTATACTTCTTTCCACACCTTCGTCAATTTTGGGTATTATAAAATTTCTTACGATAAGAAAAAATACTTTCAAAGGTTGCATATTATTCCATTACAGCACGTTATGTTTATCCATTCCTCTATCGTTGGACATTAACTTAAAGCAATACTGCAGTGTTTACACTTACATATAAACCTTGGAATTATTTGATTTAGAAAATTTTAACTAAAATGTGCTTCTGAATGAAGCCTACTTCCAAAAAAATCTTTAGTTCTCTTCTTTGAAGGCATCTTTTAACAGAAAGCCATTTGATTATGGAGAAGTAGAATCAATGGAAGATGATACTGATGAAAATATGGAGGTGCATGATCAGTCACCCATGAATCTATTTGATGATTACCCTGCCTGTAGTGTTAGTGATGCAAATGAATCCGGAGAGAGCCAGAATATTGTTGGTAAATATATATATTTACTGCTTGGGGTTTTTTTTTTTTTTACCTCTTCTTATTGATTGGGCATTAAAAAGAACCCCATTAATATGAATTTTATACTTATTTCATGCTCCTTTTTAGCAGTCTGTTAAGTTTATTCCCTTCCTGTACATATTAGATTTCTCTGATATGCAATTGAATTTATTATTTTTCTGTTTTATTTTTTATGGCAACTCAAAAAACTCATTGCCGTCAAATCGACCCCTCCTTGGTTTTCCGAGGCAGTATCTCTATGGAAGTAGATTGCCCAGTCTTCTTTCTGAGGAGTGGCTGGTGGGTTTGAACTGCCAGCCTTCTGGTTAACAGTCAGAAGCCTTAGGCACTGTGCCACTAGAGCTCCCATTCTTTATGGTAGGAGTATAAAATTATTATTAAAGAAATATAGCTATATCATAGTATTTACAAAATAGAGAACAGGAAAGGGGAAAAGTATGTAGAGTGTCATTACTTTTAGCCTTTTTCTGTTACTTCTTTATAGATCCTTTCAAAATTATGGTCAACATCAACATTCCTATACCATTTTTTTGCTTGTCTGTTTTATGTAGCATTAATGAATCATCAAACAATTACAGGCATTATAATTATAAGCATTTTTTTTCATATAGCTACTTATTATTGATAATCATACCTTTTAATAGCTTCACAATATTCTACTCAACATATGTACCATAGTTTGCTTAGCTATTTTTATTGTCAGAAATTTTGATCCCGTCTCCCACTTACTCTTTTTCCTTTTTACGTACTAATAAACATTGCAGTGAATGTTTGTCTATTGATTTTTCCTTAATCTGGATTGTTTCTTGATGACGGAATCCTGGAGAGCTTTTCATGAAGAGTTCTGAAGATTTCAATGTTAATCAATTTCACCAGAATTTCACTTCCCATATATTTCTATTTATGTTTTTATAAGGGGGGGAGAGTATTTGAGTTGATGTTCAGTATTTATGGCTGTTGTGCCCCTCTGAAATCTTAATGACTATTTTTTACTTTTAGGTGCCATGAACCCTTTAGCAGAAGAATATCTGTCAAAACAAGATCTACTTACTTTAGACATGCTCAAGTTCTTGTGTATGTGTGTAACTACTGCCCAGACCAATACAGTATCATTTAAAGCAGCTGATATTCGGAGGAAACTGTTAATGTTAATTGATTCTAGTATGCTAGATCTTACCAAATCCCTTCATCTGCACATGGTGAGTTAAATGAAATGAAGAAAATTATTTTTGATGTTGCTGGCTGAATGTAATGGACTGTTATGTAAGAATCACATAGCCTTTGTGCAAAAACGGCAAGGAGGCCACATGTTCTGACCTCCTCTAATCTCACAAGAGGAAGACAGGATTACCAGCAGTAACCCAAGGCCTATTACTGCAAGGCCAAACATGCTGCCTCCCTCCAGCCCTTTCACCAACC